GGAGGCAGGTTCCCGGGGCAAAGGTCGCGCTGCAGCACAACCTGGGCCTCGGCGGGGCCGTGGTGGTGACCCTCTACGGCATGGGCTTCCCCGGAGCCGCCAGGTGAGAGCCCCGCGGGGCTGTGGCTGCCCACAGCGCCTAGTCGAGACGAGGTGGTCCGATTCCACGGCGTAATGCCCTGGGAGAAGAAGTGGTGGGGTCTGCCTTCTGCGTGTAGCCGACTTCTTGAGGAGAAAACAGCACTGTGTGTGCTGACAGACCTTACAAAATAGTTACCTTTCAGACTGTATCTCTATAGAGCAAGAAAATGCACTGCTGAATGAAAATGCACGTTCAGCATTCGTGTACAGGTCTTGGTTATACTGTCATTGGAGACTTTCACTGTGGGTTCAGTAGTGGTGTGAACTAAGCTCGCTTTGTGTTGGCTGTGCTCCCATATCTTTGTGTTTCAAAATTTGTTTTTTTAGAATTATTGTTTGCCTGTGTGCAGGGAAGAAATTGCACTGTAAACTAAAATTTGCTCAGCAGTTGGACCTGTTGTGTACCTACAGCACTGCAGGTGTATACAGAGATTATAACTTACACAGTGTCCTATTCCCGATAAACAATATGCAGTGTGAGCTATAAGTTATTGAAAAGAGCAAACTGGCCCATAAAAATGGCTGGCATGATTTCCTGTAAGGAAAAGTCTAATATTTGGAGGAAAAAAAGCCAACAAAACAAAAAAAAACCTTGCAAGAACAAAACAGGCCACGTTAAAATGAATTAATTGAAACTAGGGACTTGCCAACAAAAGCAAGACATCTGTGGGAATAGAGATACCCACGGTTTTCACTGCTGAAATTGTTGCTAGTTTGGTTTCATGAAGAATTGCTTTCAGCTGTATGTGTTACATGTGGTATTCTAAGTACTTATTAAAATTCAGGCATGTTACTCATCCAGTCCTGGCTAAAAAATTTGCACTTGCAATTTTAGTATACTTCAGAGCGAGAGAACACTGCAATGAAGCTGTCTTGCAATCTGCTATAGTTCTATGCTAGGATGGACAGGAACTGAGAGAAAATTCTGAAAATTTGTAAATATACCAGAATTTCAGGAGAGACTTTTTTACTACACAGTTCCCTTTATGTTTTCACTTTCAACTTTGCTTAGAAAGATTGAGCTACTCTCTGTGGGTGTTATGGTTTTGGTTTTAAAGCTCGATGCCAATACTTTATATTTGCTCTAAAAACCGTGAACAGTAAAATTAATCATGTACTGGACTTCCAGAAAGAAGTATTACCCTCCCAACTCATATATCTAATGTTTGTTTTAGCTAGACCTGTACAATTCCTGGGAGGTGACAATAGAATCTGTGGAAGAGGTAATGAGAGAAGCAATTGAACTTTGAAGGGCTGCAGCAGTAACTTTTTATAGTACAGCGTCAGAAGTGATAATTCTATCACTTCTGTAATCTGTAAGAGGTTAGGTTGTATGAGAAAATAGGTAATCCTGATACAGGAAAAATCATGTCTTCTCATGTCTTCTCATTCTCTTCAAACATGCTTACAAAACTTGGCAATGGGTGTTGGTACACAGTTTTAAATCAGAGGGGAAAAGACTGTTACAGGGAATATACTATTTTCCATTGCTTTAAGCTTTGTCTTTAAAAATATTGTAATTTCATGGAATGGAATCTGCTGCTCTGTGTATACTGTTAACCTTGAGGTAACTGCTAGAAGTAGCGCCTTCCTGTCAGGAAAAGCTTTGCATGTATAGATAATATTTCTCCTGAAGAAATTAAGTCTAACTTACTACAGCTCACTTCACCTTCATTGGTATTGAGAATTTTTTAAATTCTTTGTTAGATACAACTCAAAACAGAGTAATCGTAGCAATACTAGTTTCATCTTACATTAGAGAAGCTTAAAAACCCGTAGTTCTCCGAAAGGCTTTGTGTGCGGGAGATGCCTGACACAAGGAGTGGCACCAATGTGTATCAGACTTTAGAACGAAACAGTGCGGCTAATCTGTTCAGACACCGCTTATGTAATTGAATGATGTTGTGTATTGTGTAATTAAGGGAAAGGTGGTGGCATTTCATGTTTATAAAGATACTTTTGTATCATTTTTTCTACAGCAATGCACGTAGACTTAATCATTGGATTCAGATACAGCCTGTAATTAGTGGCTTTAGTAATAGCTACCAAGAATGTACATCAAGGTAAAGGACAGCAGGACTTGATCCATTTTGGATTAGTCTTTGAAACAGTTCTGCTTTTTTTTGACACTTTACGATTTTACATCCTGTTAGTACAGCCTTGGTTTATTAGCAAAATTGATGTGTCTTCTTCAGATGAAATAGTCCCTACTATTACTACCCCGGCATACATCTATGGGGTAGTGTTAGTACCACACAAATAAGTTCTAGCAACATTTCCTAAGTGATTCTGTCACTTCAACAATATCAAACCTGACCATAATTTTGAACTCTGCTGCCAAGAGATGGTAATAATTGTAAACTCGTTTTTCCTGCTGCTTGAATTGCCATTTCTTTGGACATCTCTATACGTACTTCGGCTCTGGGTGCCTCTGCAGAAATGAAGAATTAGGTTTCATACTACTGTCAGGCATCTAAATCACTCATTCACGACAAATGACTGCTCCAGAGAATCAGGAATAATGCTTAGTGCCTCTGTGACTGTTAAAGAGGCCCACATGAATTGGAAGGGGAAAAGGGATTTGTTTTGCCAAAAAAAAAAAAAAAGGTGGTTCTCTGAGATGGTGCATGTGCTGCTGTCTCTTCACACAAGGTGTGGCAGTAGCGTTTGCTGTTTTGCCTTAATAAGATTAATGTTTTACTTTCATTATAAAATTAGTATCCTGTCCATACATGCAAAAACGTGTAAATACTTGAAGTGACTGTAATTCAAGCTGTCAAGCCCATCAGAGAGCCAGCTTCACTTTGGTATCATATAGTTGCTTTACACTGCTAAAGTGTTTCAGTGTGGCTGTTCTTGCTAGTGTTAGGCCTATTCATGATGTTGAAAATGTGATTAACAGTATGTAAATGAATGGGTTTTTCATTTCAGCACCGGCCGTATTGCGGCTGTGCCTCTCAGTGCAGCTGTTGATGGATTTAAGTCACATTTGGTCTTCAAAGAGATTGAAAAGAAGCTCCAAGAGGTATTTGACTACTTCTTTTACCTACAACAAGATTTTAATTTATGACAGAACATGTGTGAAACCTGATGGGAATATAGTAGCATCAGTCACTTCCTCAGTACTGCTCATTGAAACAAATGTTACAGCTTTGAATTTCACTGTGTCAGAAATCTTTCTATGCTGTGCCATGATTTTAAATTCTTTTTTTTCAGACAATTCCTACCTGCATAAGGGTATTTCAGTAAAGGCAAGTTTAGATTGTATGTGAGGAGCTTGCTAACTAACACAAGAAACTTTAAGTTTGTGTTGGTGTTTGTTGCTTGCTTTGTAAGTGTGATTGGAAGAAGAAATCACATTTTGTCAGACTTACAGCAAGACAAGACTGTTAGGACAGTGGTCATTTTTTTAATTGGTAGATTTTAATATAGATAGTCATAGTTTGTGGTTGGGGTGTTTTTGTTTTTAAATGGTTGTTAAACAAAGCTTAATAGAGGGAAGTAGATATTTCTATGTTAGCAGAAAGGGTAAAGGTTTTGAAATTACTTTCTGTTTAATTCAAACTATTTTAAAATTATTTTGAAGTAAATGAATAATTTGCATATTACATGGTCATTACAGGAAGGAGAACAATTTGTCAAGAAAATTGGTGGAGTCTTTGCCTTCAAAATAAAAGATGGTCCTGATGGGAAAGAAGCAACTTGGATAGTGGATGTGAAAAATGGCAAAGGCTCTGTAGCAGTTAATTCAGGTCAGTGCTACTTTATTATATTATTGCAGAAAACGTATAAAACCAATGAAAAGAATATAAATTCATATTCTGTTTAAGCTATAGTGACCTTGAGCAAAAGTGGTGTAGAGCTACCTTAATTTTAAACTTTTCTTATTACTGACACTTTTAATCCATGATTTTTCAGACCAAGAATTGAACGTCTTCTACTCTGAGTTCTGTCTAGATAATTGCGTGTTTTCTTAGAGGCTCCAGACAGATCTGTCATATGACTTTTACAGAAATCAGAATTAAAAAAAAAAAATTCAAACTTCAGGGATTTTGTTGTCCTTGCCTCTTAAAATTTGGGCCAGAAATGTAATTTATAGCTGTTGCTTTGTTGGGAGACACTGGTAGGTGGTAAGCTATCTTGTCTATCTTGTCAAGTTACTTCTCGTCTGCGGCTAGTCTGCAGCTAGTCAAGCAATAAAACTTGACTGATTTCAATACTGTACCAGCTGACATAACCTTCAACTTCCATTTTTAAAAAGGGCAGACATAAATAAAACACAGACTGGGTGGTGGTGGGCAACCTCATAAAAGTATTGGAAGCAAAGGATTTGTACCCTTGCCATGAAAATATCTTGTCGTGTATCTGAAGTCATGCATCCTAGTAATGTAAATAAAAAGCCAAAGACAAGTCTGTCCTCAGAATCTCATATATCTATGAACCTGCATCATAAAGCTTTTAATTAAAAACATGACAGGGGGTTCATTTGAAATTCATTGATCCCAAGTTATTACAAAAAGAAAAGTACTGTTTTCTGTTGTATGGACAACATTTTTTCAAAAAGTTAAGTTTAATAATAAGATGACTCTAGGAAAAGATGTGTGCAGTTTTTACCCCTTTGGTATATACATTATATTTTTATCAGAGCTTATTAAAATAAGTTTTCAGCTTATTTCTGGTAAGAAGATTCTAAAAACTTCTGGGTTTGAATTAATTCAAATGAGTGCTTTTAGAATGCACATGTTGTTCCCATTGAAGGAGAAGGCAGGAAATGCCTGAAATTTCAGTGATTAGTATCTTCAGAGTGTGTCACAGGGAAAACCACATTTATTCTGAGTTGATCTTAATACTAGTAAATTTAAGCTTTATAAAACTTAAGACGATCGTCAATCGTCTCAATTGCAATTAACATTCTATTTGATTACAAGCAGATTATTATTTCTTTTCAAGGAATGAATTTGCTTAGCACCTTTCAGAAAGGTCCGTCTTTCTTCAGTGTTGGGATGGTCTGTGCTGCAAGGTGGCACAGATGCCTGTTGGCTATTGGATGATCTCTTGGTGATATTTTTATAATGGCCCTTATTTGTATGTACTTCAGGTACCATTTTGCTAACCTGTAGTATCAACAGATTCTTCATGGAGTTGCAGCTTCTATTACTATTTCATCTCTCAGTTTGAATCTTCATAGTCAACTGTATCTTGCAGATAAGAAGGCGGATTGTACAATTACAATGGCTGACACTGATCTGTTAGCTCTCATGACTGGCAAAATGAATCCTCAGACAGTAAGTATAGCAAAGATGAGATGGTAAGAGGACTGACTTGTTTGTTTGTTTTGAGTGTGTTTAAGTTGAAATAATTTAAATAAAACCCCTCCTCCAAAACTGCCATGGCTGTTCTGAAAAATGACAGTTCTTGACTTTCTCTGAACAAATTGGTCAAGTAAGATTAATCAGGAAAGACAGTATCTACTCTTCTGAACAGGTGCATATTATCTCAGACATCCTGTAGGTAATCCAGAAGGGGATATAATAGTGCTTGGTTTGCAGAGAAGACGGGGAAACTAGTGTTTGCAGTATGACTTAAAGAAGAATGTTGGCCCTCTGTTTGGAGGGCTTTACGCTCCTAGCTGGCATTGGTGTAAGGAGTAATGTTGATGCTGAAAAATGGAAATTGAGGTGAGCATCCACTAAATGCCTATGATTATTTGGGTTTTTTTATTCCGTAGTGTGTCAAAAGCAGCCATAGTGTACAAGTAAACCAGACTTCTAAGTTAATTTTAAGTTGCTGTTCCGTACTTCTAAATTTGAAATGCTCTGGGTAACATTCTTTTAGGTTTTTGGTCTGGTAATCACAGGGTAAATAAGAATTTTCACCAACTAAAGTGTGTCTAAGAAAAGTTTGAAGGTAAAATACATTATAGAAATGTTGTAATGTACATTCTATGATTCTATGTAGGAAATTCAGAAGCAATTACAATTTTACATCTACAATTCGAATATTTTAGTGCATGCAGTTCATCTTTTTACAAGGTCCGGAGGAAAAATCCAAATCTTTAGTGTGTCTGCTTCACAAACTAGATTTGTAAAACTGAATTAATCAGTAACAAAATCAGTAATGGCAGGGGGGGATTTGAGTAAGAAATCAGTTGTGGCGTCTACTGTACACTATTGCTTTATCATCTTCACTTTCTACGAAAGTATTTCTACGAACTGGCATTACCAAAACATTGGGTATTCTGCCTTGCTTTGATACAGATCCATTGTTATGATAATGCAAGAAACATGCAATACCAAGTTTATTCTCTTTAGGTATCACAAATATAATAAGCATACAACTTCCTCAGTTTACTATTCTACCTTCTAGTGTCAGAAAACACATTTGTTGATGAATGTGAGATATCTGCTAGAACTGTTAGAAATATAAAACCGCAGGCCAGAACCTGCACATACATAATAGTCCATAACCTTTGAGGGGGGTGCATTTGGGCTAATATGTTGTATTGCATTTTATATCATCTATCTTTCTTTTTAGGCATTCTTTCAAGGCAAATTGAAGATTTCTGGGAACATGGGCATGGCAATGAAACTCCAGAATCTACAACTTCAGCCAGGCAAAGCTAAACTTTGAGCTCATTAGAGTAAACAGTCAGTACTTGATATTCTTGACAAAAAAGTAGAATGAAACTAGACATTACCAATAATATGGCGCAGGCTGGGTTTGATTGGACCTCTCTCAAGTAAATTCTGTGGTTAGAGACCTTAATTTTCTTAATAAATTCCATCAGATTGTCTGTGGCAAAGATTTTTAGGCTAAGCTTGAGGCACTAACTCTTGCAAATGGTATACGGTGGGTATTTGTTACAATTTTTGTTTTAATCAATATGAAAAATTTTATAAAACATAGAGTTGAATGAGGCTGCTTACTGTTGTTCAGGTTAGTTGGAAAGAGAGTGAGGAGGATTATAAATAGTTTGACATATCAATTAAATTAGTTGCATTTTTTTAAAAGCTGTAATAGCAGGTCATACAAATGCTTTCAGACTTCCATTCTAACAAATTTGCTGCTGCTTAAATTAAAATGGTCTTATAAAGGGGATCTCTAACAACATTTTTTTTTAGAATAGGCTTTAGGAATTTGCTATAAAATACTTTTCTTATTACTACTTTGGAATTAAAAAATAAACAAAACATCCAGAAGTAAGTAGGAACTAGAAACGTTGCTTTCAAATTCACAGGATTTGATAATACTTCACCTTGAAAAAAGATTAGGTTTGCCAGGAGAGCAGAGAGGGAGTATGACCAACATTTTACCTGTTTTCTCCTGAGAAAATCTGGTGTTGATCATTATGAAACTCTTATCAGTAATGTAAAAGCTTTAACTTCTGTTTTGGGAAAATGTATTCTGGCTGGAAGTTTAATAGAAAATTAAATACACTTTTCCTGTTCTTCTGTGTGTTGCTTCTTCGGATTTGTAAACACAGATTTCATGTTAATGCTCTGAATTGACTATTTTATACAGATCGTCATGAAGGGCTCCTGCAGTCATTCATTTTTTCCTCCTTGGGCATTGTCAGTAGATACTCCATAAACTATATCTCAGTCCAGTATATGCACCTCACATCCTCACATATGTGGGCCACGACTGAGGAACTTATGCATGAACTTTCACTTCCCTGGTTTAACTAAAACCATAATAAAAATTAGCTAATACAAGCCAATCATTCTCCTTATCTGGTGTGCATGGTTAGCAGATTGCTGAGCAGTAAAAATAGCTGTACTGAATCAGAACAAAAATTGATCTAGTGCACTATATTTTCTGACCGTTGATACTGTGGAAGGAATATTAAGATGGCCCAAACGTCTGTTTACCCAGAATACTTTCCTAGCTGCCAGTGATTTTAGGTCTATACCTAAAGTCTATCTTAGTGGATAGTCTTTCGTGAATTTGTTCGGTCCCTTTTTGAATTCTTAATGGCTTTTTAGCATGCGTCAAGAATTTCTGTAGCTTACCTACATGTCATGTGGAATTAAATTCATTCCTTTTTATCTTTTATATTGCAGTTTTATTGTATACCTCTTAGTTGTTTTTTTGTTGTTGTTGTGGGGTTTTTTTGGGTTGGTTTGGTTTTTTTTTTTTTTAACTGGAAGAAACAGTGGACAGCTTTGAAGCCCTCCTGGTATTTACAGTCTTGCTCTATCACCTTCAGGCTTCACAGCTGTGTCTATTTAACTGTGTCACATGGAGAGGCCCTTGTAACCTTTTGGCCATCCATGTATCCTTCCTGTATGCTGCATTCTGATTGTCCTGTTAAAAAGCTTTCAAGCTACAAGAGCATTTGCTGCTTTTATTTTTCTTTACCCAGTTTCTGACCACTACTAGTTTTGAGCTGATGTTTTCTTAGATCTCTTAAAACTGGGGTCTCATTTCTTTCCTATTAACTCAATGTTTATTTCTGCACTGTGAAGCTGAAACTTTTTTTTTAATTATTCCATATTCATTGCTTTATTTGTACTGAATTTCAACTGTCTGTTTTACTGTCCAGGCACTCAATGTTCAGACCTGCCTGCAGCTTTTGTACTCGGCCCTCGTCTTTAAAATCTGGATGAATCAACTTTTATCACCCCACTGTTCATCTTCTTTTCCAAGGCGTTAGTTTAGTCTTGAATAGGACAGGTACGGCCTTGCTCCACTGAAGACTTCTTAAAATACAATCTGGTCACATGAATCAGGTTTCCTCTTGTGTACTTGTTTATTGACTTACCCAAAGGATTGTGGCAGATAGGAGCCATGTGTCTCAAACGAAAGCAGGGTTAGCTCTCTACAAAATAACATTTGCTAATGTATCCACTGCTTTTTCCTAAATTCTTGCCATTTGGCTTGTGGGTTAAAATAAAGAGGAATTACAGGATTGCAGCAGTAATTCTGTACTGAACACAATTTGTTCCTCTACACAGTTGCATATACGCCCGTTCATTAGGAAGCTTTGTCCTCTTGTTGAATCACTGATATCACCAGAAGAGCTTTGGATAGATATCTGTTTGCAAGCTAAGAACCTGCCTTTTGCAAGAATTTTGAGCACAGACAGAATGTATTTTTGGCCACTGTTTAATTAAAGAAGCAAATGAATTTTGAAGTGTAAACAAGCTAAAATGGATCATAGTAGTCCATACAAGTAAAAATATCCTCTAGGCAGAGGGTTCAATGTTCTCAGACTCCCAGTTCACATGAGAGGAAATTTCAGCTTTAGACATTAAAATGCTTAGGAGGGTTGTTTTTCCTTTGTGGACTCCAGTGAATACCCTTTGCAGCTATTGGGTTTTTTTTTTACCAGCTGTGATAAACGTATTAATCATTTGACAGCCAGAGATGCTGTCAGGTTGGCAGGTGTATCTTATCTTTACTTTCTTTTGTAAAATGAATGTAATTCTTTCAGATATGAATTTTCATAATAAAGAAAAAAAGTAAAACATGTTTCATTGCTATAAGAGAAGCAAATAGATTTGTCGGAGTTGAGCCAGTGAGCAGAGCGATGCCTGACTCAGCAGATCTGGCTTGCAGGAATTGGAGTGAATGCTTTGGATTTGGAGCACAGATTTTCTTTTTAAACTTTTACTTGAGTTTTGTGTTTCAGTCCTGCTGCTTTGTCTAGTCAGAAATAGGTACAATGCAGTACATTACCACACTTTATACCATATGCATTCTCAAAAGTGATTGCTGCTTTTCTTATAATTAGAGTCATTAGAAGATAAGCTGATGGTCAGAACACGGCTCATTTCCTTAAGAAAATGTACTACTTCAAGAAATCTCAGTTCCTATGTTGATCAGGATAACAAATAGGAATTTGTTGTGAAATTCTGAATTTGGGATATTTGCAAGAGAGCTTTCTGTGGATAAATGAGGGCATATCCATGGTCAGATGAGGCAGTCTAGGGGGAAGGCAGTTACTGCAGGTGTATGTTGTGTGGGGCTGACCTTATCTCTTGAATAACTTCATGGGGGTGTGTGACATGGAGTGCCTAGTGCAGGTGTTCATAACTGCAGGTATTACAAGGGAGAATCTGGCAGGTGGCTCATCGTGGCTTTATTTGTGTAAAACAAGTCCTCCTAGTACAAGGTAATCTGGGATCCCTTTGCTGAGCAGCAGAGAGAGATTAGTTTGCTCAGGAGGTTGTGAACAGCTGAGCATGCTTTGTGGAAGCTGGGTTAAGGAGCTATTCTTTTGGGGGATCATTTCAGGATGCGGGAGGATGGGATAAAGGGACTTGACTACATCTTCCCTCTCACAATAGGAAAAATTTCAAGTAGTCACAAGGCTGGATTTATCCATTTTCCATATGTCCATTTCATCTGAGGTCAGTTTAAACTGTTACCTCCTTGGAACAGGAACTACATCGCTTCCTGTTTTACAGAGCACGGAGCTGGATGTCAGCTCTCGTTAAACAGAAAAGAATAAGAATGCAATTAGCCTGGTGGATAAAAGGCAGGAAAAAATCTCTTAACTATGAAAAATCAACACTTGAGGAAGCAAACCACATGTGGAGAACAAATGCTGGGAAAAAAACCGTTTGGAACAAATCCCTTTATTACTTAAATAAACATCAGCGTAATTTGTTGGAGTGACAGTGTGAGCTGTTCTGTAAGAAGAATTCATTGCTAACTTAAAAGCAGATGGCTTTATATGGCCCTGGGTGGGTTCTCTGGGGAACGTTAGTTATATACTGTGATACAGGAACAGAAATATCCTAATAATGCTGCAGCAGGCTAAAAGGAACATGGGTAGTATAAAACAAGTACAAAATATGCTGTGTCTGTATCCCATATTTCAGGTAGATTAAAAGCAGTCATGGATTTTTTTTTTTTTTTTTTAAACAGTACATGTCCTCTGGGAGAACAGACATCTTAAAGTTCATTCGGATCAACACACAGATGCCAATAGGCTCATGGCCAGGCTCTGTTGTGCATACTTAGGTTTGAAAAATACTTCCCTTCCTGCTTTGGAGACAAAATCCCCTTTTACTCTTTGTGTTTTGATTATTCATTTTTTAAAGCAAATGACGGCAAGTTACTTAAAAGAATTTTGATGGGCTTTTTTCTCTCATTTCAAATAAAGGCACAGTATCAGCATATAGCAGTGGACACTTCCGGAATGCCAGTATTTCTGTAGAGTCTTATTTAAATCAGATAAATAGAGGTGAGACTAAAGAACGTTTTATCACCTTTTAAGATACAATTAAAACTTAAATCTCCTGAATGCCTCATGGCTCACTCCATGCTGATCACAAATGAGCTGATGTATAGCTGCCTGTAGAACCACTGTTCTTGGAGCTCATGCTTCAGTGGATTTGCTTATACCTTTTGTTCTCTGCCATGTTGTTGCTTGACTGGGGTGTGTGTTATTTGAGTTTATCATATCACATCTAAATTTAGCCTATAATCTCTTTAGGACAATGGCAATAGTTGCAAAGTCAGAGCTGAGCAGGTCTCATGGGTTTGAGCTACCTCTGTGCTGATCCTCTGTGGTTCCACGAGGCAAGTGCAGCCTTGGTGTAACTTAGGTAAGTCGTCCAGCTTTCTCAGTTATAGTAGTGGAATATAGTGTACTGCATACTGCAGCTTGGCCTTGGATGTGTCTTTATGCTGAGGTCTGCAAGAGTATCTTTGAAAAGTAAGAGCTCAAGTTAGCAAAGTCTGTCCTTGACCAGTACTGGGGCTTTTTTTCTGCTGGAGCCAGTGCAGAAGGTTGGGTCTTGCACAGTGCACTGTGTGCCAGGCCCATTGCAAAAGCACTATGGCATGCTGTGGCACATGTGGTCTGTGATAGCTGCCAGTTGTTCAGTGAAGTACCCTAGCAGTTGTTTGCCCCAGGACTTGTTTCGCTGCCATCTATGTGATCTGAAGAAGTGATTGTACCAAAGTTTAAACTGAGCCTTCACCTTCAGTTTTTAAACCTGAAAATGTTTCTTCCTTTAGGCTGCAACCACACTGTCACCCATCAGTAGGGAACATGTAAGAGTACAAAGACTCGAGTTTGACTGGAAGTGTTTCCCGCAACTAATTCTAGGGTCTGAGTCTTGCAGTGGAAGTTCTTTCCTCCGGAAGTACCAGAAAGCTGTAGTGATGGAAACAGTGGTTGCCTGAGTCCATATACCATGCTAGGGCATAGCCTTTGGCTTGTGGTGGGTCAGAATGCCTTTAGATAGGTTTGACTCCAGCTCTGGTTTTCCTGTGGGTTTTGTGGGTTCTGATGATGGAAATGCAGCACTGGGCCTGGAGATAGGAGATTGCAAGGTTGGGATATGTTGATGTAAGAGGGTAAGATGTGGAGGAAGTGAAAGCTTGGAAAAAAACAGCCTATATAGGTAATTTGTAGCATAGTGTAAGGCTGTAAGCGTTACCTTTGCACATGGGATATCTGGTTTCTGGTACTGGCTCTGTCCTGCTGGG